TGACTGGACCACAGAGACACCGGTCCATTTGTTTTGTCCCAACAATTGAAGTGATCTCCCGTCTTCACCTTCGTTCTATCTTAACATAAGTTTTAACACAGCAGAGATGCCGAGGTCAATTTCTATCTGAACACATACACCACAAGAGAGGATGTTGTGGATTCGGTCAGAGGGCTGACACACAAAGGAGGCAGACCCCTCAACACCGGGGCAGCCCTCCAATACGTCAGGGACAATGTCTTTACAAACTCCTCCGGGAGTAGGCGCCTGCAAGGTGTTCCACAGATGTTGATCCTGCTAAATGGTGGAAGGTCTTTTGACAATGTAGACGCCCCGGCCTCTGCTCTCAAACAGCAGGGCATCTTTGTGATTGGCATTGGAACAAGGGGCTCTGACAGTAGAGAGCTGCAGAAGATATCATATGATCCTAATCTTGCCCTATCAGTGTCATGACTCACTGACCTCCCCAGTGTCCAAGAACAGCTCTCCTCTGCAGTGAGCACAGTGGTAGTCCGGGCCACGCTGGTGAAACCTATATTAATTGGTATGAAAGTGACCAATTTCATTCCAATTTTATCATGTAATTCACATTGAATTCCAACTATGTATCACTGTATCTTCAGTTGAGCTAATGTCACTTTGACAAACATCACTACCAGCTTTGATAGAGTAATTAGGAAACATAGAGTTTAGCTTACATCATCTGAACATCACACAGGAAATGTTTGACAGATCGACCTAAATATGTCTCAAATCTTTTGTTCCCTAGTTGACAAAGAGCTACCAGGAAGGGATGTTGTGTTCTTGTTGGATGGATCTGATGACACTAGAACTGGATTCCCAGCTATGAGAGACTTTGTCCAAAGTGTAGTAGAGACACTCAGTGTGGATGACAACAAAGACCGCGTCTCAGTGGTTCAGTACAGCAGAGAGCCAACTGTCCAGTTCTATCTGAACACGTACACCACAAAAGGCCAGATCCTTGACACTGTCAGAGGTTTGAGGCACAAAGGCGGGAGACCCCTCAACACTGGAGCAGCTCTCCAGCACTTGAGGGATAATGTCTTCACAGCCTCTGCCGGAAGCAGGCGCCTGCAGGGAGTTCCACAGGTCCTGATATTGCTAAGTGGTGGAAGGTCTTTTGACAGTGTCGATGCACCAGCCTCTGCTCTCAAACAGCTGGGTGTCCTGACCTTTGCAATTGGAACCAGGAGCTCTGATAGTATAGAACTTCAAAAGATATCCCGTGATCCAAGTTATGCACTGTCTGTATCTGAATTCTTTGATCTTTCCAGTGTGCAGCAGCAGCTTCAGTCCTCCGTGGAGGCTGTGGTTATTGACGTCACCCCAGAATCACCCACTGTTATTGGTAGGTTAGCTAGCAAATCATAGTAAACTCAGTATTTTAAGGGCATTGTGTACATGAAATGGCATCCTTTCCAACTTTTTAGTAAAAGTAGAAACATGTGTTGTGTTCTTAAAATGCATTGTGATGCATTTAACACCAACAAGTATCTTTTTGTTTTCTTTTTATTTTTGTATGTTCCTCTTCATTTATCCTTTTATTTACAGCATGTATTGTTGCTGCGCTCAATAAAACTTAACTTCTTTTTTCTACATGTGGAGAACTCACATATGATTTGACAGAATCTTTTGGGTCACAAAAAAATCTTCTCTTGTTCAGGAAAAATTGAAGCAATCTGTATTCAAACATCCACACTCTTCAAACATTAAGAACCTTCTTGATTCTGAGGACAGTCTTGAGTCTGAGTCATCTTCTTCACTTGCATCCTTTTCCATTGTCATCAAACAGTTCTCCTTTTCATCTCATTCAGTTCTCAATGTGTTTTTTAACACTGTATATATTCTGGCTTATATTAATTTTTAACATATATATTCATATCCACAAATTGTGTTATTATCTCATTGTAACATCATTTTTGTTATATTGAAGAGAGCAATCTCATTTCAATCAATTCCATATCTTGTAGCATTGTCATGAGTGTTGTGGGCTCTATATTCACAAAGCAATTTGTAAATATCCTCCTTATTCTCTTCTGTTTTATTTTGCCAGTTAAATTTTTGAATTATGTTCCACATGACTGGATATTGGTTTAATGGTGGATGGATAGCCCCAGAAATAAGTTTTCTCATGTTAGGGATTATTATAATAGGAACAAAACAAGCTTTAGTCCAGAAAAATAAAATGTGCAGTTCTTCTTTGAAGCGACTCACCAATGTTGCAACATGTCAGCACAAGTTAAGCACAAATAATATTGAATACTGTATTTATATGTATTAAGCAGACAACAAGACTAAACCAAGGAAGAATGATAGGAAAGATATAACACTTTACAAGCTTCAATTACAAGTAGAAAATCACTTTGTCCAAGTGTATGTATGTTTTCAAATCATTAACTTGTCTTGTGGTATTGGAGCTTCCTCCTTTGTTTGCTTCTTCTTGTATTTTGCCCTAGTGTTGATTTTATATTGGATTTGTGTTGTTTTCTCATGATGGTTTGAAAATGTATGACTTTTAATTCAGCACAAACTTTAGCTTCCTGTGTGTTTGGTTTGGACAACCAACATTATGAGACGTGGCTGGGATGTATTCTTGGAAAACTAAACTCACTAGGGATAAATCATTTTTCAAATTGGACAATATCAGCCCTCAATAATTTGTACATGTCTAGTACATAACAAATATGCAAAAGTAGTGAGATAGGAAGTTAACATACAAATGAATAACAATTAAAATAAAGCATCTTTGAAAGTGTTAATAGTTTAAAGAGATGTTTTAAAGTATGGGGTTGTTGGGTTGATAGTATATCCATATTATTTATGGATATAAAGTGTTAAACTTTAGGGGCCATAGATTGATTTTTAGCCAGTGTAGACTTTGGAGAGGGTTGTTGTTTTGGAATACATATATATATATATATATATATATATATATATAGTAGATGTAATACATAAAAATGCAGTGACATAAAACTTGTTCTAAATACACACAAGCAGGTATTTCAAAACAGATAAAATGGAAGTTACCTAATCATGACATGCTCTTGTTAAGAGTATAGCAGAAGTATTTTTGCACAAACTGAAGCTATGAAGAAGTAGTTCATCCCTTAAAATATTTTTTGAATTTTTTTGATTTTTGAAATACATTTAAGGGGAGAAATAACTATTGATCTTATGGTGTGATAAATGTAATCGAAACCACTTTCCATAGAAAAACCACTTTCAGTAACTGTTCTATATCTCCCATGGTCAGACCACACTCAGTCTAATGTGAAAACTGAGCTTGTGAGATATGCAAAAAGAAATGTACGAAAAGAAAAATGTATTATATAGGAAGGAATCCAAAAGACATGTAATAGGTTATCATACATCAGTGTATGATTGCTGATGTAATGTTCATTTGACCTTGTACTTATTTTGATCATTTCAGTAGCAGAACATTAAACTAATGTTTCTCCTTGTCTTTTAGCAGAGTCAGCAGGACCACGGAAGGATATTGTTTTCCTTGTTGATGGATCTGATGGTGTTGGACGAGAATTTCCTATCATCCAGGAGTTCATCCGCAGGATCGTGGAGAGTCTCAATGTGGGCGAGAATAAGATCCAGATTGGTGTGGTCCAGTATGGGGACTTTGCTCATGCTGACATGTATCTGAACTCATATACAACCAAAGAAGGTGTTTTGAATGCTGTAAGGGGAATGAGACAGCGAGGAGGAAGACAGCGGAACCTGGGTCAGGCCTTGCAGTTTGTGAGTCAGGATGTTCTGACGGCAGCACGCGGAAGCAGGAAGCAAGACGGTGTACCACAGTTTGTAATCGTCATCGCCAGTGGATCTTCAACAGATGATATCAGTCGTCCAGCATCTTCCCTAAAACAATCTAGAGTTCTTCCCTTCAGCATTGGGACCAGGGATGTTCACCCTACAGAGCTCCGGGTGGTGTCATATGTGCCTAATTTTGCCTTCACTGTAGATGACCTCCCTAGCCTGCACACAGTCCAAGAAAACTTAATCACTACTCTCACTGAACTGTCAGATGATGACATTGCCACGATGCGTCCAGTATTCCCAACTCCTGATGGTAATTTTACTCAATTGATTTATCTCTAAAAATGATTTACAGCTTAAACACATTATCGTGTACCTCACTTTATTATAGTGTGTGTTGAAATCAAGTTTGAATTTCTGCGTGTGACTTATTCTTTACATGATATATGACATTCTCAATCATACTGTATATTCTCTTTATCTATTAGGAACTGTGTAGTTAGTGCTCATACCTTGTTATTGTGCTTACTTTGTTTTTTTTAGCAGCAATCACACCCGCATCCACAGGAGGAGAAAAGAGGGATGTCGTATTTCTAATTGATGGCACGACAGCCATGCGTAGTGAGTTCTCTTCCATCCGTGAAATGATAAGAAGAGTTGTGGAGAAGCTGGATGTAGGATTGGATACGGTCCGAATATCAGTTGTGCAGTACAGCGATGACCCAAAATTAGAATTTCTTCTGAACGAATTCTCCACCAAAGATGAGGTACGCCAGGCTGTGATGAAACTTCGAAGCAAAGGTGGAAACAGCCTAAACACAGGTCGTGCTCTTGAGTGGGTCTCCAGAAACATCTACCAGAGGTCAGCAGGAAGCCGCATCGAGGATGGTGTTCCTCAGTTCCTCATCCTAGTTACAGGTGGCAAGTCTACAGATGACGTATCCACTGCAGCCGACCAACTTAAGAGAAACCTGGTTGCCCCTCTTGCCATCGGCTCAAGGAATGCTGACCCTGATGAACTGAAACAGATTTCCCTGAAGCCTGAACTTGTATATACAGTTGACAGTTTCCAGCAGCTTCCAAGAGTGGAGTCACAGCTCATTGATTCTGTCAAAAAAATTTCCACCGCTGATATAGTCGCTAGTTATGCTCCTTCAGTAGATTTAGGTAAGAAATACTAAATAATCTCACATATGGAAGGTTTAGGTCAACTTCAAGTTGTAAGTGCTAAAGGCAATTAGTGATTAATGTTTTCATCATTTGCCTTTCAAAATTGTTTTTCATTCCTCATGTAACTGAAAAAACTGACGTTGGTACACTGATGATGCAGGAGTAAAGATCTTGTTAACCTCTTCAAAGCTTGGTTCTCTTATCAAGTTCTGTTGTAGCAGAAGAATTAAAAAAAATGCATCAGTCTTTTGCTAATATGCTTTGAAATAACGTATATCTCCCTTTCTTCCTATTTGCAGACCCCATACATCTTGGGAAAAAAGACATTATCTTCCTTATTGATGGTTCAGACAATACAGGTGCTGCTGGCATTGCTCATATCCGCGACTTCATCCTCCAAATTGTCCAACAACTCGATGTGCAGCCTGATCAAGTGCGTGTGGCTGTTGTCCAGTATGCAGACAGAGTTAAAACTGAATTCTCACTCAACTCACACAACAACAAACCAGCTGTTATTTCTGCAATCAAAAGACTTCGTCAGATGGGTGGTCGGTCATCAGACCTGGCTGATGCCATTAACTATGTTATGCAGAATGAGTTAAAACCCTCTGCTGGTGTTCGTCTCACTGAGGCCTCCCAGCATCTCGTGGTTCTGACAGGCGGACGGTCATCCCAAGATGTTTCCATCTATGGACCTCTGCTCAAGAGCTCCCGAGTAAGCTGCATCGGTGTTGGAGCTGGTGGTGCTGACACAAGGCAACTATCCCAAATTGCCACCACCGCAGATGATGTTCTTCAGGTTCCTACAATTTCTGGACTGTCAGCACTCCAGGATAGGGTTATTACCAGGTTGAGTGGGACTATCCCTGAGGAACCACCCACAGACTACACAGATAGTAAGTTTTGCAAAACACACATATTATAGATACTTTAATATATGTTTTACCCTAAACCAATTATATGGACAAAAAATGCTAAAATCTAACGAGTTCAATCCATTTATTCTCATGCTCTCCTTCTTTACCCATCCTCTTCAATATATCATCTTTTTTCTTGTGACAACAGGCCTGCCAACTAAAAAGGCTGATATTGTGTTTTTGGTGGATGGTTCCATCAATTTGGGCCGGGACAACTTCAAAGAAGTGATGGCATTTATCATCAACCTAATTGACCTGTTCTACAATGACAAAGACAACCTGCAGATTGGCCTAGCACACTATGCTGCAGATGTGACTGATGTCATGTTCCTCAACACATACAAGAACAAGCAAGACATTATGAATGCCATTGAACTAACAGAGTACAAAGGTGGACGTAAAATCAACATTGGTGCAGCCATTCGCCATGTTCAAGATGTTCACTTTACCAAAGAAAAAGGCAGTAGGATGGACGAGGGCACTCCTCAGATCCTAATGGTTATCACTGGAGGGCGCTCAGCTGATGACAGCAAAACAGCATCCCTTGGTTTGAAGAAAAAAGGTGTGAGAATCTTTGCTGTAGGAGTGGGCAACACTGGGAATGAGCTAGAAAATATTGCAAGTGAGTCTTCCACTGTGGCTCGAGCAAGCACCTTCCTGGAGCTTTCAGAGCTCAATGAGCAAATCTTGGAGACTTTGGATGATGAAGTGAAGGGGAAGCTTTGTGTTGGTGTGCCAGATGTCCCAAAAAGTAAGAGACATAGAATTATTTTTTTCTTGCTAATAGACTTTATAGCCACGTTATTTCACATTTAATGAGCAACTTAAAATTAAAGGTTTCAATTTCCAGATGTTTTCTCTGGTTCACAAAACAGCCTTAAATAAAACCATGCTTTGTTTTACAGCCTGCAACATAGAGGTGTTGGTTGGCTTTGATGTTAATGGCCAGAACATCTTTAGTACTCAGACCAACCTCCAGAGCAAGATGGGCACCATTCTGCAGAGGATTTCCAAAATGGCAGCTATCAGTTGCTCATCTGGGCAGATTCCCTCTGTACAAGTGGGCATGCTAGCCATGGACTCTGCCTCTGAGCCTGTCCAGCTGGACTTCACAGACAATGCTGATGAGCTCTTTGAGGCCTTCAGAGCTTTGCGGAATCGTGGCCCCTTTGTCCTCAATGGCAAAACCATCTCAGCTTACACCAATAGGTTCAAGACAAGACAGGACAATGTTGTCAAGGTTAGTTACTGAAATGGTTTGAACTAGTAATAAGATCAGTATCGGGCAGATTCCAGCATATTTTGAAGGATTGGTATTAGCCAGTTTAACTCTACTGGTGGTTTACTGGAGGTTTGTCCACCTGAGCATGCTAGTTACTCCTGTTATTTGACAGCTGAGGTCTGAAAAAAAAAATAGTCACACAGATTTGGCAATCTTCAGCTATTACTGTTTATATCTCGTTAACAAAGAGCAGTGTACAAAATATCCAGGGAGCAACTTCTTGTTTTTGTTTTCTTATTTTGCTGTTGGATTAAACTGCTCTTTACAAGTTGATGTCAGCCAAAGATTCTTTTCTGAGGGAAGGCCCTCCAATCTGAAAAAAAGCTGTACAACCACAAGTGGCCTGAGTGTTCCTGTTAATCCAGCAACTCCATCTTGTCTTTAGTGGTCAGTTTCAGGAGTCACATTCATCAGTTCATCCATATCACATTTTAAATTGATATATTCAATTTCTATTCAATCCAGTTTTTAACCAGAACATTCAGTATTTGGATCAAGTAGTTCATGAAAACTTAAGTGCGTCTAAATTTAATAGTCTACAACTGTTATTTTGTATGTCAAATACATATTTTTGTCAACATTAAAGTAGCTAAAGGTAAATATGATTATCAAGTCATGTTTTGGTGTCAGTGGGTTGGGATCTTGATCGAGAAGATCCTAGTTTAAAATTACCAATGAAAAGACAGAGGAAGTGTGAGACTGAATCATGTTGTTTTCTCCTGAAGGTTGTCATTCATTTGACTGATGGTCTCGATGCCCCATATGCTGAAATGAAAAGGCGAGTTGGGGAGCTGCAGATGTCAGGTAAAAAGATGATACAGTACAAACTTGCCCTTGATTTATCCTTAAACCTCTGTGAAATTATAGCAATATCACATTCAGATGTAATCACACACAATAATACTGTTCCTAAAAAACTCTTGTATGTGCTAAATAGGAGTGAACAGTTTTATTCTGGTTGGGTTGGAGCGGGTGGCCAAGTTTGAGGAGGCTTTGATGTTGGAATATGGCCGTGGCTTCAGGTACACCAGACCATTACGAGTCAATATCATGGACTTGGACTATGAGCTTGTGGAAGAACTGGTGAGTACTAAATAATCAAAGACACTTAAGTGTTTTCTTATCTTTATTACCATAAATGACTTTTTTTTTTTTTTTTTTGCTGCATAGGACAATATTGCAGAAAGAGAGTGCTGTGAAGTGCCTTGCAAATGTACTGGTACCAGAGGAGATCGTGGAGCAGTTGGACTTCCAGGCAATAAGGTATCTAATCAAAAAATAAATTAGTTAATTAAATTAAATTTAAAAAAAATAAATAAATAAATAAGTATATATATATGTATATATAAAATACCCTGCAATTTTATTTTTTTTCAATAAAATCCTGAAATAATATTTGATTGTTTTGTCTTTCAGGGTAGTCCAGGATTTGCAGGAAGCCAAGGACATCCTGGAGATGAGGGTGGACCTGTAAGTTTGAATTCCTTGCTTGGTCCCAGTCAACAGTGTTTCCTTGAGAGACTTTCAGACACCTGCTGTAAACTGTTAATTAACCATGTTTTTTATATTCAAGAAGATGGTGAAAAACTGTGTTTTTTGTTTACCACCCCTTTGTGTTCCTTCAGATTCCACCCCTACTGTGTTTTGTCCCACCAGATTATTTTATTTTCTTTATTCTGTAATGACAGGGAGAGAGAGGTCCCCCTGGTGTGAATGGAACACAGGGTTTCCAGGGATGTCCTGGACAGAGAGGTACCAAGGTAAAGGCTTCAATTTTAACTTTAACATTCAAGTTATTGGGAATATGGTTTTTTATCATTATTATTATTATTTAATATAATGGTCTAAATGCTATTTCTTTCTTCTGTTCAGGGTTCTCGTGGGTATTCAGGAGAAAAGGTGAGTGTTTTTCTTTTTTTAAAAGTCCTCATTATTAGATAAAGCTGTCAGCAAAAAGGTTCATGCACTGATTACCCAACCAACTGTCACCATGTTGCAGGGTGAAGTTGGAGAAATTGGTCTTGATGGCATCAATGGAGAGGAGGTAAGTGTGTTTTATATTAGTTTTTGTCATTCAATCCATTTTTATATCACATCACTTCTTAGCTGTGTGGCAACTGAGTTCCGCCAATGTCTTCATGTGGCAAAGACATGCATTTGGTTTATGCATGACTGTCGGCTTTAATTGGCATCTGCTAAATGTTTGCAGGGCAAAAGTGGAGTGGCTGGACCCCCTGGAGACAGAGGACAACCTGGCAGAAGAGTGAGAGACTAGATGCAGTTTTGGTTTCACATTTTGGTTTTAACACATGTTTTGTGTCATATAGTTTGTGTTGGTAAATGCTCACTAAATATATGTTTGTTATATTTAGGGTGCCAAAGGTGCCAAAGGACAAGCAGGAGACAGAGGAGAAATGGGAATCAGAGGAGACCCTGTGAGTATTATGAAAACAAGTTATAGTGCCATTTATTAACAGTTATCTATAAATTGATATATTCTTTTACACATTGATACCTGAACAGATCAAGGCTGATTATAGAGTAGTATTATGTTCGTAATTTGTAGAGTGTTGGTAAATTTGTGTTTACATGTAGAGTAGTAACTTATTGCCTGTGTGAAAGAGTCATCAAGTTAAAAGAAAACGTACCTCAACAGAGGCCAGTGGTAAAAAATTACAGCAGCTGGTCCTTTAATATGTGATGGTCTATGTCCCTCCGTCAGCATGCAGTTGCTCTCCCATGCTTATTATATAAATAAGAACGTATTCTCGGACAGCTTTCTTTGAATGTAGCTGAAATAAAAAAATGTGACATCTGTCTAACAGGGTACAAGCGGACAAGACAACAACCGTGCAGGACCTAAAGGAGACCCTGGTGATGCTGGACCAGCGGTAATGTCCCCCTGAACACCTTGTCTTGTTATAGAAAAGACATCCTGCTGATGCATTTTCAACATTAGCAGTTTGACATTACATTGCTGTTTGTATGGGTTTGTTTTACTGGGATATATGTTGTGAAATTATAGGGAGATCCTGGTGAGGATGGAAAGAAGGGAGGACCTGGTGAACTTGGAAGAAGGGTAAACAATTTCTGCCTCATGTTCATTATCTTTAACATACTTGGCACAGTTTTTTGGTTACCAAGACTTATTTCTCCTCCTACTTTGTTAGGGAGGTGATGGCAGAAGAGGCCCACCTGGACAGGCTGTAAGTCCCTTTATTGGCGCTAACATACATTGTTTAACATTTATTACAGTAACTCTTTAGCTCTTGGCAATAATTGTAAAATCCTGCTGCTTGTATGTGATTAAAGGGAATTCCCGGAAAGGCAGGAGCTGATGGTGTGCAGGGAGAGCCTGGTATTGGAGGATCTAGAGTAAGTTTGTCATTCTTTACATGCTATTTGGCAGATTATTCAGTCTATAAATACACTTTCCAAAACACGTATAATAGTGAATGTTGTCATTACTGTTAATACTTTTCTTGGCTGCATTAACAATATGCCAAATTGTTTTGACTGGACTGTGACTGGAGTATTTATCAATCTAAAAATGCGTGTACATTCTTTACTCATGGGTTGAAAGTCTCGCTTTAACATGAAAGAAAGTGGTGCATCATCAGTGTCTGGTTTGTCTTTATTAAGGGTCCATCTGGACCAAATGGTGCCCCAGGACCCAGAGGAGAGGACGGTAACCCTGGACCCAGGGTGCGTGAACCTGTTTGGTCCATTTTATGAAATAAAATCTTCAGCTATGTTCGTAACAGGGTAAACCTAACTATTATGTCCTGTTTTTTTTTGTTTTCTAGGGTCCTGGAGGTGACCCAGGTCCCGGTGGAGATAAGGGCAGAAGAGGACCTATTGGTCGCAAGGTACTGCATAACTTAGTGTGACTTATGTTCTTCCATAACAGGGTTGTTTCATTTATAAACACACTGGATAAAGCCAAGCTCTCTCACATTACTGGACACACATGTGTAGTCTAATGAAAGCACTATAAGAAAACATCAAGGCCCCGCTCGAAAAAAAACAACATATGTGCTTAATTAAATCTGAAAAGTAACACGCCAACTTAAAGAAATATTTCCTTCTTAAAGCCTTGACACAGTACTTTGAGTACTTCTGTCTCTGTCTCATTCTCTCTATCTCTGGGCTTTTGCAGGGAGAGCCAGGAGAGCCAGGACCTAAGGGTGTTGTTGGACCTCTTGGCCCCCGTGGAGAGCCTGTAAGGATGGAACCACATCTTCTTTGCATGAACCATAATGTAACACTGGTGAAAAATGAACAATATAAGAACTTTCCCACAATCAAAAACATCAGGTGTACATGGTCTTTATAATACAGTACATGGTTATAAGACAGTTGTCATTATAGTTATGGCCAAGAACAGGAGAACTCAAGATTAGCTTCAGGCTACAAGTCTCAGAAGCAGTTTTCTCACTGTGGCTTGTATATCTGAAGCTGCATGTGGTTTGTTTTTGGTTGGTTAGTGCTTTTGGTGAGGATTGTCTTATTCCATGTGTTCTGTCTTGAAAGAGTACCATAACACAGCAGAGTCTCATATAACTGTGCATAACACTGTAATGTTGGGACAAAGGGTAGAAGAAGAATGTTGCTCTTGTGCAGTTGAATTAATAATCTCTCTACGAAAAAAAAAGATTGATGAAGCTGTTTTTCTCCTTGTTTTCCTTATAGGGTGAAGATGGTAGAGACGGGTTTGGTGTTGCAGGGCCCAAAGGAAGAAAGGCAAGTGAATTGTGACACCTTGTTATGTAGGCCTATACATGTACATATACAACCTATTTATGGTGGTCAGAGGGTTTGTCTTTTTCCAAAAACACAAATAGAGCTGATACAACTTTAGAATTCTGAATAGATTTATAAAAAGTGCAATATCTCTGGCCTATTTCAAGAGAGAATTATCAATACAATACTGTTATGTTACATATCTCACAGCACATGCAGTTATACAGTCATTCAATGGTACAATAATTACATAAACAATACTTAAAGTATGTATGTATTTTTCACCACAGGGTGATGAAGGCTTCCCTGGATTCCCAGGACCAAAGGTAATGGAAGACACTGACTCGAGTGAAATTTCAACAGAGGCTGCACAATGTAGCATTGTACACTCTGGTTATTGGGCCTGCCTTTTGGTGTCGATTACTTGCTTTAATTCATTATACTTCCATCACTATAGGGAGCAGCTGGTGAGCCCGGCACCAAGGGTGGACCTGGACCCATTGGAAATCGTGGACAGAGGGTAAATTTTCATACCCCCAGCTGGATTTGGTTGATGTTCAGCACATGTTCTAAATGCAATAGTATATACTGGATGGCATCACTCAGCAAATCCTCCAACATGCAGCCTGTTCACGAGCATCACTAGGCACATACAGTGTGTTTGGCTAGATACACAAGAGGACTGCTTTTGAAGTTTTGGATCAGATATATAAGATGCATTCCATGTAGTGAATTAGCGGCATGAGCATGCACATTAATGTTGTCACTTTTCAGTCTATGAAGGCAGTGAACCTGTAAAGAAGCTATTTGTAAGTTTTGTTAACGCTACATAGCTAACATTAGCATAGTAGTGGCGTTCAATCTGCCCTGAAGATGTAGCGCTGCTCAGAGGACGTATTAAAACCTCTTTTCTTGTGAACACAACAATGGCTGAAGCTCTTGTCAAGTGACAATCACCACCAACTGCTCCCAGCAAGAAACCACATTCGGCGGCAGGGAAAACTAACAGATAGCGCCTTTGAAGTCAAGCTCTTTTTTGAACTATTGACAGATAAATAGGCTTAAAATCAATTCTGTCAATGAATTTCTTTCCAGGGTGTCTCTGGGGATGTGGGTACACCTGGACAGAAAGGAGAGGTTGGATATCCAGGGCCATATGTAAGCATCTTCCAATTCTAAAGTATTCTTAAAAACCATGTAAATACTATATGAATGACATATTTATGATTTACAGTATCTTCTGTATTTATTTAGTCTGTTTGTGCTTATATCTTGACACTTACTGAGCAATGTGATATTGTTAAGTTTCTTTACATGATTTGATATGAATAGTAAAAAGCAATACAAAAAATAAAGTGTTGTTATTGCTGGGTGTTTGTCCACTACACGTCCAGCTGTTAACACAATTGTTTACGCTCCCACAGGGTCAGAAAGGGCCGAGAGGACCAGGTGTTGTGGTCAGTGCTCATTTTTGTGTAAAAACATTTCATTGAATGAACAGAGAAAAACTATTTTCTGCCGGCAACATCTTTCTCCCCTCAACATTTGTCTCTTTGTCCCTTCAGCAATGTGACCTGGTCAAGAAGATTAGAGACAACTGCCGTGAGTATAAGTTAATAAAAAATAGCAAAAAATGCCTTCCATGATATTGAAAATTAATAATCTCTGTAATAATCTGTTGTGTGCAATTAAAATATCTTACCATGTTTTGTTTCCTTTTCTCTACCAGCTTGCTGTTATGGTAAGTACAAAAAAAAATGTTTTTTATTATATAATAACTGCTTTGTATGTACTGTATCCACTACTATACAGAAAATAAAACCTATGTGTACACTTTTAGGTAAGCAGGAATGCCCGCTCTACCCCACTGAGCTGGCCTTTGCCCTGGATGTCTCTGAAGGTGTCACCCGTGCAGTTTTCAACAACATGCGTGACACAGCCCTGCGCCTGGTCAAAGACATCACCATTGCTGAGAGTAACTGCCCAAGAGGAGCTCGTGTTGCTTTGACCCTGTACAACAGTGACGTTGTCACTGAGGTCCGTTTCGCCGATGCGTTGAAGAAGCGTGCTCTGACGCAGCGCATTGAGGGACTGCAGACCCTACAGACAAGCAAGAAGCGCAGTTTGGACACGGCCATGAGCTTTGTGGCCCAGAACACCTTCAAGAGGGTACGCAGTGGCTTCCTCATGAGGAAAGTGGCCATCTTCTTTGTCGGTGCGCAACTCGGTCAGGTACAAGCAGTTACTAATGCAGCTCTCCGCCTCCATGATGCTGGAATTGCCACTCTGTTCCTTGTCAACCGTGAGGAAAGAGCACTCACCAGAGCACTGCAGGTACGACAAAGAAACAAATGACTTATCTCAAAGGGTAAATTTACAGCACAGCAGTTTGTGAGATATATTTACATTACACATTCTTTTTGTACACCAGGTCAACAACACAGCCCTGGCCGAGGTAATTGTCCTTCCCAACCCTGGAAGTGCACAGTATAATTCAGTCATCCAAAAGGTTATGAACTGCCATATCTGCCTAGGTAAGTACTCGTTTGTACACTGATATTTACATTTGTATTTTTTACTTGTTTTTCATTTTCACTGAACAATATTCATTTTTTAAAATATTGTCTGATTTCTGTTGTTAATGTTCATGAAAGTTGTTCTATATCCTGTTGATTCTGTTTGTGTACAGAAAATTCTGTGAGCATACAGAACTGTAATATATGACATATATGTCACCTATATTATTATTACATATATACATCCTCTGGATATATGAATGTATAATTTTATAACATATATGAAATTCCCATAGTAAAAATTGTATATGTACATACTTTAAAAATATAGATATGATTAATTTTATTCAGTTTAATATGTTATGGCCATATATGTTAACAAAGAACTGTATATTCGATTCATATATGCAAGTTATTTAAACATACATACATACACAAATTCTATATGTTTATATATGTTTTTCTTGATAATTTTTAAAAATTAATTTCTCAATTTTAAACACGTCTATCTTCCTATTCTGGGAAAGAGGTCTCAGACTTTTGGACATCACCGTATATAATAAACATATACCGACAGACTTTGGGATGGATATGTATTTATGTAGCATATGTCTACAATATAAGCATACATACATAAACAAGCATAGACAGTAGCCTATGTATGAAATATATATGAAATTTATAATAGGTTTCATATAAGTTTTACATATTGGCTTAATGTTATATGCACATATTTGTATGTTGAATGGAAATTCAATATACGTATATACATATATTACATTTGGGGTCTGAGCCTCTCTTCTGATTGGCTGACTGTTTTCTAAGTGATATCATAAAAAAATAGCAGATTTCAGGTAAAACACTCAGAGAAACCAAATCCTGCAAGGTTGGATGGTGGGTCCAGGTAGTCCGGGCTTGGGGCATGGCTGAGAGCGGTGACTGTTTTGTTGTGATGTCACAAAGTTCCAAAAGTCCTGACGGCTGGTTTTAAGGCTCAGTTTCTGAATACAGGCTGTGTGCATTTCTCTGTGGACTGAGGCTTTGATACTTTCACAGTATTAATATAGAACCTAGACCTGCTTTATAATCAAACAACACATGGACATCTGCCTTTATACTAGATGGCACCTTTGAAAATGAACACAGATTTTTACTTTTGGAAAAATAAGGAAAATAACACTAATCATAACCTAATGTGACATCACATTACATTACATGTTTTTTTTTGTCTTTTTTTTTTTTTTAGATGTCTGCTCTCCGGACCAAATGTGTGACTATGTGCCCCCATTGATCACCCGAGACAGGAGGTCTTCCACCACAGACGTGGACATCGACATGGCATTCGTAATTGACAGCTCTGAGTCCACCTACCCAACCGTCTTTACTGAGATTAAACGCTACATAGCTCAGATAGTAGAACACCTACACGTTTCTTCAAATCCCACATCGTCCCTTCACCACGCCAGAGTGTCAGTGATCCAGCAAGCACCTTACGAGTACCTCCACAACAAGACCGGCTCTCCCATCCGCGTGGATATTGGCTTGACTGAGCACCAGTCAGCTCAGGATATTGTCAGATTCCTGCTGGACAAAACACCGCAGTTAGAGGGTGGCCGGGCGCTGGCAAAGGCTATCGAATCAACAGTGGAGCTGGTGTTTGAGAAGGCGCCTCTCCCACGTGACAGGAAAGTACTGATGCTCTTTGTGACAGGAAGCGTGGAAGAAGAGGAGGAGCAGCTGGTGCGTATCGCCACTGAGGTCAAGTGCAGAGGCTACTTCCTGGTCATCATGGGTGTGGCTGATAAGCTGAGTGCTAGAGATACTCGCGTCTTGTCTCGCATGGCCAGTGAGCCATCAGACGTCTTCTTCAAAAGGCTGGACAGCATCTCGAACTTTTATGACAAGCACCTTCAGACCTTTAGCCAGCTGCTGCCAAAGTATATCAGCAGTAAGTTGAAGACAGAGACCAGCATTTGTCAATCATTTATTATTTTTTCTGTGCCAAGTCCCTGTGAGTGACTCTCTGTTTGTCTTTTCAGTTGAAAACGCTTTCTACATGTCCCCCGAGGTCTCCAAAAACTGCAAGTGGTTCCAGAGTGACCAGCCACTAAAAAACCCCTTCACATCATCACAACAGCAGGAGTAAGTTTTGTGATATACAGTATATGTATATATTTTTGACACCGTGTTATTGTTCATTGTGAGTTAATAGTTTTATTCACTATTTATTGGTACATTTATAGGAAACATCAGAAGCATCATGAGAACCAGCAAGCAGTTCATCAAAGAAAGCACAAAGGTGAGATTGTGGATGTAATAAAATGAACTTATTAAAATGAAATACTTCTGCAGGCGGTTTCAGTGTAAGTGATGTTTGATTTGGACCGGTCATTTCTGTTTCCTTCACCATGAGCTAACCGCTAACACTGACTGCCCATAAATCCGCAATCAGCACTATTGTTCACACTTCTCTCAGACTGGTGGTTACACCTCTAAAAATTATGACCGGACATGAGAAGCAACATTATTTCATCCACCGCAGCTGCTGACTGACTCCTGTTTTCTCTGAACCTGTGATTTCATTGTGCCTCAACACCTCTGTCTTCTATCACCTCAGACGCAGATGAGCTTCACGTCTTCAATGTCACTTCCAGTGGCTTGAAGCTGCGTTGGAACAGCGCCGACCCCAAGCTCTTCGTCTACTTTGAGGTTGTGGTGACACGGTTGGCCGATCACGCTCTGGTACTGAAGACCAACGTCTCCGGCACTGAGCTCTCTGTGGACAACTTACAGAGTGCTCAGACGTATCATGTCGTGGTCACCGCCCACACCGCAGAGGGTCAAATTGTCTCTACCCGCAAAGGCATCGTCACTACCAGTAAGTCCATAAACACACCTACGCAAAGGTGCTGTAAGCTTCCTCTTTATCACACAAAATGGGATTGTTATTTAAAAAAACAATGAGCAATGTTTCCCTGCCTTGTGACACAAAAGATGTCAGTAGACCAAACACATAGTTTTGCAGGTAATACGATTTTTGGGCTTTTTTTGGGCAGAAAAACTGTGAGTGGTGGAGGGGTGTGGGTGTTTTTTCCAGTTACATTGGTCACTCCTCACTCATTTAAAAAAATCAAATTATCTTGTCCAGTATTACCTAAGTGCTTTTTCAGAAATATGGGCATAACATGTCGACTGGAATTATTCGTAAGTGAATTTAGATGTTCAGAGTTTACATTTGGCCTCAAGGCTCTGACATTTAGTACATTTTTACATTTAGATTTTGGATGTTTTTGGATGATTGTGTCACCAGCACAATCTTTAGTTTTTTACTCTTTCCATGCATTACAGCATTTTTGGTGGTTTTGTTAATCGTAAATAAACAAACTAAAAAACTAAAGGTACTCTAAATTCAAATTAAAACACTTTCCTGAATTAGCTCTCAAACTTTGCTGACTGCTTGTTTCACATTGACAGAAGCAGCAGAGCATAAACCAGTCAGCCACAGGACCAGTACTGTAAATACCACACCACTGGACAAACCAGAAACTGGTGAGTGACAGTGCATGCGCGCGCGTGTGTGTGTGTGTGTGTGTGTGTGTGTGTGTGTGTGTGTGTGTTTAACTTTTATTCTGTAATTTTGAAGTTGTCTTTGAACTTTCTGCCCAAAGTCAACGTTTTGTCTTCACTTGCCTGGTGCATTAAAGCTAAGGGTCTCTGTAGAGTTGTGTTTGGCTGGGTTTCCTAAGAAGAATGTAAGTACATAAGTAAAACCCGATGATTCAACTCACAGAACATAATGTACTAAGCTGTAATTCAACAATATATAGACTGTTGCACAAATGTGTTGTTAATCAGCTCACTGGTGCATGCCAAAGCACACTGAAGGTCATTTAGGAAAACATATGAAGTCTACTGGTCAGGCTCAAAATGATCTTGGTTTGTAGGTTAAATCTTTTGCATAATGTGTTTTGACAAACCAAACAGTTGAGGTTGCAATATCTGTGTCACTCTGTTTACTTAGAAAACAGAAACACATGCGCTTATTTGCTTCACGAATAAATGCTTATAGCTGCCGACTTAAGTGAGACATGAGAACGTCTTCACTGGCTGTAAGCGTGGGAGGGTCAAGCTTCTTCACCTGCCCCGCTATCAGTCAGCTGTGATTATAAGAACAGCAATGCTGTCAGTGAGTGCAGTACTTTGATACTCCAGCGTGAGCACTAGCATGCTGCAGTTTAACACAATGCTGTTCCAGAAAGGAATCAGCAGTGAGGCTGTGAAGAAACTATTCCTGAGGTTGATTTATGGAAACGATAACATGCAGATAACCTGGACCACACAGCCATGCAGATGACTAAAATGAACTAACTATGATATACTAATGAACATTTAACAGTAGCTGTAGTTCTAACTAACTACCTAAACTTACACATTACCATCTTTCATTCTACTGACAGCTTTTAATTTTCAAATGTAAAAACTCCCCAATAATCATATCAGCCTGACCCCTCTGTAGGATGCCATGTTGAATGCCAGTTCTTTTCCCCTCAGCACTTAGACTCATTTGACCCCATTAGACCACACATAAGCTTCTAATATGAATTTATCTGTTGTTTGCAACTTTTTAACAGCACACTATAACTGTATGCCTTGTGTAGTTGTAGATTTAATCATCCTCTCTCTCTGTGTATGTCCTCTATCACTACTGTTGTTTTGTTTTGTTTTTTGCATGTTCTAGTTAATGAGTTTGCAGACCCATGCTCACATGACTATGACCCTGGAATGCCGTGCAAAGACTATCAGGCTAAGTGGTTCTTTGACAGAAAGAACGGGATCTGTACACAGTTCTGGTATGGAGGTTGTGGAGGCAATGACAATAGGTTCGACACTGAGACCCTCTGCTTGAAACACTGCATGAGGTCAGGTAAGTGGTAGTTGTACCTGCCAGGCTCTGTTAGGGAATGTGCCGCTGTCTGGTGTGATAATAATCTAATGCAGCGTAGTATGAGCTTCAGCCCCAGACACAAAACCTACAACCGGCCTTTCACTAAACCCCGCACCGCAAAACAGCGATTGTGCAACCACAGCTTACCAACCGTGACCAGGCATGGCAGGCCTCTCAAGCTTTGGATTTCTCCACATGCCAAAATAATAATAGGAGTGAAACTAGTTTGAAGGGTGGCGTCTTTTTTAGTCACCTTTCCAAAAGCAAAAGCAAAAGGACAAACATTTAAGGAAACCTATTGCGAGTTTATCTGCTTATAATGTTAGCAACTCTGTCCTGCTCTTTTAGCTTCAGCCTCACACAGTTCTTCCTCATCCTCAAAGCATTTTCTCTCTTTCTTTCTTTAAAAATTGAAGCATAAATCTACCATTGCTTGTCCAATTGTGTTATTTAGAGTAATTTTTTAGACCATTTAAAGGTTATGTTACAGCATGAAAACATTATAGTTACATCAGTTTATCGAAAATACTCAATGGATCGTAATCTGGTGAGGATGCTAACTTTTAGTGGGGGACATACAGTTTATCTCTAGCTTCAGTCATCATAACATCATGTTCCAGGCATTAAATTAAAATGACATGTGGCATGTTCATATTTACCCTTTTACAGGCTTTCAGTTTAAAACAAATCAGCTGAAAATAATAAAAAGATGGAAACAGTTTTCAGCCAACTCACAAATTTTTATTTGCTACTACTGCTACTGGCGCCTGCAGTCTTATTTCCGATGTAGGTTTTTTATATTTTTAAGTCACATGTTTTGATTGGACAGTAAAATCATATTATAACCTGTCACTGACCACATGAGGCACTGGAAAAATGTGTATAGCTACATTGCAGTGGACACCATTTTGGAAATCCTAATGATGGTTGTTCACTGAATAAAAGTCTCTAAGGTCAAACCTAATTTATTTTTAAATTTTTCCACAGAACCAGAACCTCAGCTCAAGGTGAGGCGGGGTGAACAGGTGGAGATCCTCCCGGCACCTGGTGAGATCTGATGTGCACTCACTGAGAATAATAGGCCTTTAATAACATGAATAGTTTCCTGCGGACATATTTTTTCACTGTTTCTTTCTTTCTAACTTCCTCTTTTGACAACATAGCTGACTTTGATGTGGTCGCATATGCTAGGAAATGAAAGAATGAATGAAGAATGAAAGAAAAAAAAACTTCCTTCATGGTTTAGTTTTAAACAAGCAAACCCACATCCTCAAAACCTTTTCAGACCACCCCTAATGTTGGGTATACTGTATATCTGGACTTCAAGTGTTGCCATGTTATATGTGTTACATAATTCAATTTCCACAAAATGTGCTCATTTAGCAAAACAACAAGTCCTTTGTATTCAAGTACAAACCCACCCACCTCCTCCGCTGCCCCTCAGATGATCTAAATAACTGGAATGAATGGAATAAGTAAAAAGCCAAGCGCGGAAAAAAGAGAAGGTTATGCTTTTGTCACAGGAGTGAGCCAAGTCATAACCACGGACAAAATGAATAGAAGGCCTTGTTCACTGGTTCAATTGTTTCTCTGGCAGCCGAGCTCATACAGAGCAAGTTCAATTTGCCAGCAGCTCGTCAGCAGTGGAGTAAATTGGCTCAAGATATTTGAGTAATACAAAGTCTGCTCTAAACCAAATGCTCCATATGTTACGACTATGGAAGAATAAAAATCTATCTTTTAGTTGCATGTGTTCTCATGCTCTCACTGATTGTTTTTCTTTGTCTCTCACAGCGGCCTTCACAGCCGTGGATATTTGCCAGCTTCCCAAAGAGGAAGGTACTTGTGCCAAGTTTGTCCTCAAGTGGCACTACGATGCCCCCAGCAAGACCTGTACACGTTTCTGGTATGGAGGCTGCGGCGGAAACCAGAACCGCTTCAACACACATGATCAGTGTGTGAAGGCTTGTGGAAAACCAGGTACATGCCATGTTCATAGTATTAATCTCCTAGTATCAGTGACCATGTATTAGCAATGCACAGGGCACTGTCAAATGAAGAAAACCAGCATGCTACAGCACGGCTTTTCCTCTGTCAACAGTACGTGTCATCAAGTTTTGAGAAATAATCTTTAATTGACAAACATCATTAGCAGTAACAAGCTGTATCAAAATCCAAAAAAACCTTTAATGTGCTGTTCATTTTTATTTTGGCAGTTTTCTGTCTGTGATACAGCAAACCAAATAAACCAAGGCCTTGCACTTGGCAAGCAAAGTGTCTACAAGAACACATTTAACAAATGTATACTTAACACATGTGGGGGATGCAAATGAACAATTGCAGCATTTATGTTACATAGCATGAGTCATGCAGATAAACTGCCCTATTCTCTTGTCTCAGCCAAATTTTACTGCCTCCATTAAAGACAAAAAATTGGTCATTTTCATGTAATAATTCATTATGACATGCTCCATGCCTCGTAATTCATAATCTCACTAAGTTGTTCTAATTGTTCAAGACTTAAGCACACAAGATTTACCTTTACAACAAAGCATGAAGAGCCCATTGTCACATTTTAGACGTCTGTCAGGTGTGTACAGTTCCACCATATATACAGAGTTACAGAAAGGAAGAGGGAGAGAGAACACAAGAGATACAATGCATGGGCAACCATAAAAACTAAACTAAACTGAACTAAACTTGCTGTTTCCATAGCAACACATCCAATGAACATAGCTGTTAGCATTTGGCTAAACCTCACTGTTGTGCTTTTTTTAACTGACCCTCTACCACAACAACCTGACACATCTGTGTCTGTAACTACACTGATTAGACACGCTGCAGATTTTACAGTAACAAGAAATCTATTTGGTAATTATAAGATACAGCATGACACAGATGAATAATAAAGAGAACTGAATAAGAAAGATAACGGAGATAAGGACCTGGCAGTTATGAGATACTACATCATCATTGTGGGATACAGAAATTATTATTACAAGATAAGGTTTCAGTGAATACAGGAGTGACATTGTTACAGGAGTGCAACACTAAAACTAACCACGTCTTTCCTTTCCATTCATCACCAGCATCCGTCAGCCAAGGAGTCAGTGCTGAAATAAGAACATAGGACTGAAGAGACAAACATGGCCAGTTTGTTTTACCTCTGTTTAGGGGATTCTGAGAAGAAACATCCAAAATGGCCGCGCTACAAAGATGCAATACCAAAGCAACGGTGGCTGCACTGGATCCACGAAAATGGACTTCATACCCAAAATTCTTGAAGTAGTCTTTTTCACAGCAAGAAGGAAGGCAACACGATTTGCTGCATGATTTGTTTTAACCTACTGGTGCTACATAGTATGTTTGTTTTACAGATGAAGTTTGTTTAAGTGCATTCAGTTTTGTAAAGTCAAGTTTTCTGGAACATCATATGAGTTTTCATATTTTTTAAAAATGCAGTTTTATAATGAAACAAGAAACGTATATGAATATCTTGGAACAGAGATTAGCAATAAATCAGTACATGCAGGCGTTACGCAGTGCAGTAATCTTTTTTATGTTTTGTTTTTTTTTTTTTACATTCCACATTCACATAGCAACATAGGCTTTTATTGATTTATGTTGTTTTCAAGCTCACTTGATTCCTGTTGAATCATTCCTTCACTATTTTTACAGTCACAGAATCTGCAGCAGTGTTTACACAGGTCTTGTAAGGTGGTGTGTGTATTTAAAAAGACAGTGACCAACTGCTTGGATGCAAAAAATAAAACAATAATGTAACACAAAGTGCACTTCCGGAGCCACTGCCTCAAAAACACAAGTTCCGGCTGTTGAGAAATGGAATGTACTTGTCAAGCTGTTTTTTATTTTTGTTTTATCTGGTTTTATTGAAATTTGTGTTTCATCTGGGTGTAGGGGAAATAAAAATGAATCAGACTTTCTAATAAACATGAGCAACTGATTCTTTTCTTTCTTGTTTTGAATTAAGTCTTGGAGGCACGAAAAGGTCAAAAAGAGTCAGAAGCACCAAAATATATTTGAAATCATTTCAAAGATGGCGCTCAAAGACTGCGTTAAAACAGATACTAATGACGGTCCACATCATCTTTCATGTATATTATTTCTATGCAGCAACTGGAAGAACTGGGTTTATTAAAGTGGGGAGTCATTTCTTGGAGTTCACCCAAGTTGCTTCCAGATAAGGTCTCAGTGAATACAACGTGCTTCCTTAAGACTATCCAGTACTTTTATAGGGTAAATCCCCAATAATCTTCACAATAACTGATTATATTAACTCACCCTTTGTGACCACCATATGTGAGGAGCAAACCTTTAAAACCTCAAACCAGCATCAAATAAAAATCTTTTGAGAGAACTTTAGAAATTAAAGTTACAAAGACAGTATTTATAATAAGCTACTACCCATTTCTACTGTGAAGGAAAACAGTCCTACAAAGTATGGAGTAATATCCCACTTTCTTGGTCAGACTAGTGCGGACTAGAGAGACCAATACATAAGAACTGATGAAGCCGCTTGGATAAGAGGCGAAACGTCTTCCACAGACAAATACAAGTCCAGTTGCTTTCGATTTAATTTGAGAGAGAGATAACTATGACCTGGACGAATGAGAACATTCACAGACATCCCAGGACCTGAGAAATGAACATAACAAGCATACCATAATATCATAATACCATGCTTGGGGTTAGGGTTAGGATCATGTTCGGGAAATGAAGTCTTTTCATACAGTGTGATTAAGGGTGTGCCTTGACAAGACATCATGGTCAGTTGTTAATCTGATTCATCACAAACTGTAGGAGTCCTATAGATCACAAACGGTTGAAGTTTATATTCATTTTTTTCATGAACATTTTCAGGAATGAAAACACAAGAATAATCATACTGACTTCCCTCTGGCAAACACAAACAAATATTATATAGATATTAGACATAGAGATATTGGACAGTCTGGTCACGGGTCAAGGATTTGATGCTCCCCTTAGATTCTTGTTACAAATATTTTCTAATTTACAAACCAATTTGATAAAGTCACATTTCCCTGTGGAAAATTGGATCTATCATTTATCCACTGAACATTTTGGATGAAGACTTTGTTCACATTTATTGGTGAATGCGTCTACTTCATGTATGTTATGAACTCTTCGTTGCTTCAAGTGGATCTTGTCAAGTAATTACTGCTGCTCCCAGAAGAAGTTCGTGTCCATACCTATAACATGTTCACCTCCTCCAGGACCTGGGTCTTCTGAACGTTGTGGCACATTAATTTGGGTGCTTCACAGAATCTGAAGGCCAGGCTGCAGCAACTAAAAGTAATGTGTTTGGGTGATATTTTATTTATAAAGTCAAACATCTCCAAGTTTATTACCAGTAAAGTTTCTGTCAAACAGTTGGCGAAGTGTGAATACCATTTAGAGTGTAAAGTGGGAAGACATATGTGTTTACACTACAAGTTTGTACAGCCAAGCAACAAATCAGACAGCAGGTAGATGTAAATATGTAGTATAAGTTTAACAATATGTAAGTTGTTAACAAGAACCATTATTTATATACAGAGGTCTACTTCATGTGATATATGCACTGATGACTGATGACAACCTGGATGCGAGTAGCCTGTAAAAGGTGATGATGACTTTCATTTTAAGTACAGTGCATGCACACAATGCACCCAGAAGTCTCTATAGAGTTTTATAAAGTTTTATACAGAATTCAAGCAGAAGTTTCTACAGACGGGTGATGCTTCAGACAGGTCAACATAAAGTCATACCTTAGAAAAGGCTGTGGAACAGTAACTGATGGAGAACACGTTCTTCAAAAGAAATCAGGGCTTTAGCTGTTGAAGCCACTGAAGAAACTGAAGTCACAATGTAGGAGTATGTGGATAAACAACCTGAGGAGGAGCTTGTTTTACAATTACATTACTTATCTTAATTTCCCTTCATTGGAACTATTCAGCACAGACAGTGGTGTCCCCACACTTTTGGCCACATTGTGTACATTGTATAGAAAGGTATCAGAATATCTGTCAAGGTCTTCGGATAGGGCCGAGTGTATAGACTCCAGTATAGATGCTTTTGGCTTTGGAGCCACAATTTCTTTCTTTTTTTTTAAAATTATTTTTCACTGCATTCTGTCTAGTACATTGTACATATCTTTGTCCATTTCAATGGCCTCCATGACTTAAAGAAATTAATTTCCTGTCCTCTCGGTGTGACATTTTGATTTACCCATTCATAGCATCCACAGCAAGTTTGTTTTACTGCTCAGTGGTGGTGGGTTTCATATGAAAACGTGAGTGTGTGTGTGCAGCGGTTATTGCTAATCATTACTCTTCAAACATTAAACGGTTTTCTTCAGCCAGTTTTACAGTCTGAAAACAAAACACTGCATATTGGCAATATAAAAATGACTATGTTATACAATTTACTCCAGGATTTGAAGTGTTTGACAGATACAGACGTCCTCTGAGAGATCAGACCTAAAACACTTGAAGCAAACAAAGTAATGACACTATAAATGTGAGTTTTGCTGTCGTGTGATGAGGAGAAGATTAAATATTTGGTCAGTGAATTTAAAAGGCTTGGGGATTCACTCTATCCTCAACCCCAACAAAACCTCCAGATGTCAGTGCTCCTGGGGTGTTTGTCAGAGTTCATTGTTTTGATAAACTCCCCTGCTTTTCTCAAATACTCACCACTTCACTCCCCTCTTCATCACTGCGTCGTTTCACACCACGCTCCATCAATTTATTCCCAACAGTTAGACTAAATGTTAAACATAAATCATTGTAATGAAAACAAGGACTCACACATACAAAAAAAAAAAAGGTTTACAAAATCTTTCAGATTAATTCTCAGAGTTGGTGTGTCGTGTGCAGATTTATGGAACTGAAGGACATTTCAATGCCATAGTATAAAATTATATGTGACAATCATGGCAAGAGTATGTGTTTGGCCGGTTCCTGTTGCAACATGTCAAGGCCCCCCTTGCAGAAAGTCAGGCCCACGAGAGATCATTTCCCCGATTCAGTGTGGAAGAACTTCTGACCTGAGTCAGGCCTGAGTTGGGATATGGATGAACTGGAATGCTGAATGTGAGCCAGGCCTTTTCACCCAGCATCAGTAATGGACCTCACGAATGCCCCTGTGGCTGAATGGGAGCAAATCTCTGCAGCAGGCTCCAACATCTGGCGGAAAAAAGAAGTCAAGGCTGTTTTTATTAATGCCCGTGGCTTTGGGATGAGATGTTGAGCTATCACATATGGCTGTAAAGTCTATATGTCCACATACTTTTGGCCACGTAGTCCATGTTTTGAGTAGAACTACAGGCAGGTTCCCATTATTATATATGATCAGTGAAAAACATGACATTCTGATTTGCTTATGCTTGCTTTACACACTTTGCTGTCAAGCCTTTAGTTAGTGTGGGACTCAGTGTTTGAATGTCCCACATCACATACAGTTGAATCTAATTAGCATATTATAACTTCACACAAGAGGACAATTATTCAAATCCAAAACCATCCAACAACTGCTCACACTTAGTGGTGAGACGTGACATATTTACACCAGCGCTGACTCTTTCTCTCTGTGGGTGGGAATTTGTACTTTTAGACAGATGTGTTAAAGCCTCAAACAGCTGTATCTTGCTTGGCAATGGGTGTAATAGCGTGCATTCACATGTGCACAAACGCAAACTTCATTTCATATAGTTAATATACACCTACATGATGCACTGTGTAGTATGTATCCAGTTGGACTTGATCAGTAACACACTTTCCATCCCTGTGTTCACTGTGAGCTGTGATGGCACATTGTGCTGCACAAATTCATTAAGTCTGTGAAAGCTGATACAGTGAACCACCAACTGTTGCTGTCATCACTGCTCCAAAAGCCATGTTAGCGTTGAACATAACAGAAGGTCTTTTCAGATACTTTCTTGCACATGAATTTTTTTTTACAAAGGAAAAACTACAATCACCTCCTCATGGTTGTTTGTCTCCGCCAACCCACCAAGTCACAGGAAACATGCTCACAATCTCTCCTTCCTGAGCTACAGCATTGAATAATGGATATAAATTTGGGATAAAAATAAAAAAATAAAATCACTTGATTTTATCCTTATAGACATTTGAGTTAATTTGTGTCACAGTGACCTTGACCTTTGACCTTTAACCACCAAATTCTAATCAGTTCACCCTTGAGTCCAACTGAATGTTTGTAGCAAATTTGAAGAAGTTCCCTCAAGGTGTTACTGAGATATCATGGGAATGGGATGGACGGACAACATGAAAACATATGCAAACATAAAAAAATCCCCTTTCCAACAGCAGTAAAGATCACTACTCATCATGTTATATTGTGTTTATTTAATCTGTACGAACTCCACTGTGTAAAAATGTCAATTTATGGTTCTATCAAAGTCTCTGCTGGCTGCCTGACAACCTCGCATTGAAAACTTCTGAAGTCTCTGCACCGGCCGGTGACGCTATCGGACAAAAAAGTTACCTCAGCTTTTGTCAACTAGCAACATAATGCATTGGACAATCAAAAGCACAGTGGAGCAGTGGTTAGCACTGATGACTCAGAGCAGCAAGAAGGGTCTGAGTTCGAACCTTCCAGCCAATCAAGGCCTTTCTGTATGGAGTTTGCATGTTCTCCTTATGATTGCCCGTACTCCAACTTCCTCCCACAATCCAATAATTGGCAACACTAAATTGCCCGTGAGTGTGAATGCTTGTTTGTCTCTATGTGTCAGCCCTGTGATAGACTGGCAAACGGGGTCCTCTCCCTCACCCAATGTCAGCTGGGATTAACTCCACCCCACCCCCACCCCCCCACCGCCCGGTATACCACTGGTATCTGAGGCAACACGCCACCACTAATGCAGACTCTTGCTTTTCTAACGCAGGGTTTTTATTTTCCGTCCAAGTT